GAGCTGAAAATTTTAGATAAATATATGCAAGCAAACCAATGAACCTTAAAATCTCTTGTCACACATGTATAAAAAAGTTAACTGGAAATGAATGATAGATCTCAATGTGAGATATCTAGAATAAAACCGTGATGTTGCAAGTTGATCCTGGGTGTTGCAAGAATTTCTTAAATAGCATATGAAAAGCCTGAATGATAAAAGAATCTGGTCAATAAATTTGAATACTCAAATTAGAATTTAATAAAAACACACAAAACCTTTGCTCTTTAAAAGATACTAATTAAAAATGACAAAGAAAGTTACAAACTAGGACAATATATTATAAAATTTTTGTCTCATAACAGACCTTCATCTAGAATACATAAATCAGTAAAACAATACAATAACAAGGTAACACTCCAATTTGGAAATGGGAAAATGATGTGAACGCAAACCATCAAAAATATGAATTGCAAATAAATATATGAAAAGAAGGTCTACTACATTAGGATCCAAGAAATTTGAAATACTGCTATAAAATTTTTAAAAGGGTAAAATTAGAAGACTAATAGTCCCAAGTATTAGAAAGGTACAGTCACCTTGGAAAATGATCAAACAGAAATGAAATATGTTTATAGAAGACTTGTAAACAAATATCCACAACAACTTCATCTTAAAAAAATCCAAACAATGATTAACAGATGAATAGATAAATATATTGTGGTATAGTCATACAATACAATATTACTCAAAAAAGAAAAACTCAAAACAACATGAAGGAGTCTTGAAATAGTTAAATTGAAGTAAAGAAGACAGATCTGAGAGTGCATGTAATAATAACCTTTCCAAACCAATTTATAGCATCAGAAAGCAAACGAGTGACTGTCTGGGGACAGTGGAGGGGTTGGGTAGGACAGATTTAAAAAGGCACATGAAAACTTACTAAAGAGAGAGATTTCTTCATTATCTCAATAGGGACTATGGTTTTGTGGCTAAATGCGTATATCAAAACCAATCAAATTACATGCTTTAAAATGTGCAGTTTTATTATATTTAATAGTAGCTTGATAAACCTGTTAGAGAGAGAAAACCTATACCTAATTCTGAAATATTCTGCCTAATATTTTTCAGTGTCAGTGAAATTT